CAAGTGAGAGAAGGCAGCTGTGAGTACCGGCAGAGTTACTAACTCCTGCCTGCCGAGAGAGCAGACTGTTCAGCCCCTTCCAGTTCCTCGTGCTGGAGCCCAGGCAGTCACGCACGCAGGAACTCGTAGGCTGGGTCAGAGCAGCAGGCCAATAAACCCGGTCGCTGACAGCAACGATGCCAGCAGCTCCTGAGAGAAGCCCAAGCAACCCATGCAGGAATGTCCCCAAGGACGAGTCACCTCCTAAGCCCCAGCAGCCCACCCAGCGTAGCACAGCACAAACCACATGGCAACGGCACAGTGGGTGTGCTCAGTCACTTCTCATCACTGTTTTTGTCATTTTTTTTCTTCCCTAGTACATCAGCACAAAAAATGCTGCTCCTCTCAGGAACTCGGGAGCTCCCGTCCCGGCGATGCAGCTCGCAGCTTTGCTGGACAGCAGGGGAATGGAACAGACAAGAACAGGTTCTGTTAATAAGCTCAGGTTCACGGACTTGCTCAGGCAGTTAATCCCTCCTGATATCAGATTAATGATTAAAGACTTGACTCTGTAGACTTTTTAAATGTCACATGTAACCAATTATGTCAACATAGTTCCTCTTGCGTAACTCTGCACGATCACACTATTTCTAGGCAGCCGTAACTCCTCCTCCATTTAACAAACTCTGCTGCCTAAGTGACACAAACAAGACAAAAAAACCCCAAAAATCTCTACAGTGGAAAAAGTGTCCACATCAGGACGTCACATATAATTATAACTGTTTCTGCACACGCACCGGCCGCCATGGTTTTAACTCTCTCGCGCAGATCAGCTCTCAAACACAGCAGCGCTGTCTGGAACACCCTCTCAGAGCGACACAGAATTCACGGCTCTGGACTTCCACCAGGTTACTAAAGACAGGAAACACCACGCAGGAAGCCCAGTCTGCAAAGGAAACACGCGACCCACCTGACACACCACCCAACACACAGTGCCGAGAATCCTGGGCTAGGACCGGGAATACAAATATGTCTTTCCAGGTCCTAAATTAGCAGATTACACAGAATCACAGAATAGTAGGGGTTGGAAGGGACCTCTGTGGGTCATCCAGTCCAACCCCCTGCCGAAGCGTCACCTACAGCAGGCTGCACAGGACCTTGTCCAGGCGGGTCTTGATTAAGGTCACGCAGCTCATTAGTTTAATCTGTCACTCCTAAGAGTCCAGGAAGGACTGGTGAAACAACAGAGACGCTGCAGCAGCCTAGAGAACACGTCCACCTAACTGAGAAACAAAACCCCCCCCTTTCAAATCTTGCTACCATGAGGACACAGCAACCTTCCAGCAAAGAGCGAGCGGCTGGCAGCTGTCGCAGGGTTGATACACACCGAGGTCCCCAC